AGATAGGTTGTGCTTGATAAGCAACCCGATGGCAAGGAAGTATTGAAGATCACCATAAAAAATCCTGCACTCGCGGGGCAACCACAAGTACAAGAAGATACTCATGTTAAATTTATCAAGCCCAAGAATTCAGAAGTTGGCAAGTGGGGAAAGAGTGAAGCTACGCGCAAGCGAATTAAGCCAACTTTTGATATGCTGCTATCCAAATATGCAGGTCAAGCGGCCGGTTCTACCTCTAATCGACCATCACATTCGAAGCGTTCAAGATCGCTTCCGGAGCAAGAGTTTCGACGCTATGCAAGGCCATATGTGTCATGGGCGCCGACACCATGGATGTCTTAACCCTCCTATATGCCATATTACATGAGAGACTTCAATGGAGGATGGGGGCAGCCCCCAATGGCTCCTTATGCTTTCCATATGGGGTGGAAAACACCTAGAAGGCCTGCTCGATTATCCCACCCAAGGCCGTTTGAGTTATAGTGCTAATCGGCTAATAAAAAATTCTCCATGTAAGGCCAATAAAAAAGTGTGGCGTGTTAAGTCACCTAATGCAGAAATTTTAGAATGCGACAAGCAAAAGGAGATCAAAAAGCCGGTTGTTGGTAATCTGGCTACTTCTAATGGTGATATTGTTATTGTTCAGCAGGGTTCCATGGTTGATGATCATGAGGCAAGCACAAGCAAGGCCAAACCAAGGGATCCCAAATATACTCAACCTAAGTGGTGTCCTCCCGGTTTAACTAAGACCATGAAAAGGAGATTACAATGCATGAGGAACCACGAGAAGGTAGAACACAAAGAGGAGAGGCAAAGGGACGAATTGTTTAGTGAAATTCGGCCCATAGCACTCACAAAACAAGTGTGGAGGCCTAACAAAAACAAAACAGAGATGCTTCTACATTAGCTGCAGCAACACCTTCACCACCAAAAGAGGATGATACAACCCCTATTACATCATCCACACTACCTGAAACATCCCCTTCAATTGAGGAATCTTTAAGCCCAATATACACATTGGGAGATGAAGACGAGATGGTGGATTATGAATCTACGCCGGTTCGGGAAGGTATGGATATTAAAATGGTATATTACTTACCTGCCGACTTTCATGCTATTGGTGAAGAATGGGAGGTAGCCCGGCTGAATTTTGGTCCTAAGAATGCTATTTTCGAGAAGCCAAGAGAACCGGTGAAACACTTGAAGCCATTGTACCCCAAAGGTCATATTAACAGATCGCCGGTTGCTAGGATCCTCGTTGATGGTGGTGCTGTGGTAAATCTTATGCCCTACTCGGTCTTTAAAAAGTTGGGGTTAGATGATGATGCATTGATGAAGACCAATATGGTACTTAATGGATTCGAGGGTAAAGAAAAGACAAAGGCCAAAGGTGTGATGTCCATGGAACTCACCGTGGGAAGCAAAACTTTGGCCACCATATTCTTCATCGCCGAGGTGCAAGGTAGCTATAGTGTTATATTAGGGTCGCGATTGGGTTCATGCTAACCAATGTGTGCCATCTACCATGCATCAATTTTTAATACAATGGATCGATAATGAGGTAGAAATCATTCACACGGATAATTCGGCTTGTGTTGCTTTGGCCGATGCATCGGTGGATTGGAATCATCTCGGAGTTTGATTTCCTTAGTGCTAAAAGGAATAGGTTCATTCCCATCTCTTTAAAACCGATTGGTGGTAATCGGTTACAAGGTATGATATGAACCAGAAGTTAAAATCAATGGCCGATATAAAATATCGCCCTAAGCATAAACATAGCTGATACATCGTCCTTAGAAAAAACATCATGCAAGTTATTTTTTGGCACACAAGTTTGCCGAAAAACAGGGGGGCATGTGTTGACACCAGATTTTGGCACGGTCAATAACTTAATTAATATGGCCTCAAATGGAGAAGTGATCTACATAAAAGAGTTTCGTATTGTCCATATGAACATCTTTGAAGTTTGGGCCATCGCCATCCGATCTCATCTCGAAGGCCGAAGTTGTGTTCGAAATACTGAGATTTTGTATTCAGAACACTATTCAGCTGATTACACCCCTAAGACGGTCTCATATGGAAAACCATTATACAGGAATTGTCTTCGTTTTGTCGAAACGATCGATTTTGATATAAAAATTGTCCAGATCTGAGTTTGTGTGAAAAAGTTAGAGCAATTGGAGTGCAACCCTATCATGAGGAGAGATGTGGCACGCCCCACCAGATGCATGTCTGATGGGTAGCGCGAGGGGATACCCTATTAAAGGTCAAGATTGCTTTTGGGCTCGTTTCCATCCGAGATCGTTTACCACCTTAAAAATTAACTGCAAGGTACAGCCAGTTTAAACGGAACAGTTTTAAAAAGTTTGGACAAAACCAATCCGAATTTGACCAGGGTTTTGGACGTGATTCCAAGCCTTTTCCTTGCACGAGAAGTCCAGCAGCCTGTTATATACCTAAGGGGTGACGGCCGATTTAATAACAACACACAATCGCAAAACCCATCTACTTTTTACCCTAGTTTTACATCTCTCCCTGGTTCTTTCTCTCTCGTTCTTCATTCGTTCTTCGTGTTGAAGGGCAGCGATCCTCGAGGCTCTAAGGGAGGGTGAACCGACCTAGAGCAGCCCATAGCTGCTGCGCGTCCAGACGGGGTCCCTCCCGGGCGCGTGGGGTTTGGTCCTGAAAAGCACCCGCCGGATTGCTTGCATACCGCGCTTCCGGACGGGTCTCCTTCGACGTGAGTTGCGGTACATCACCCTCGGCGTTGGAGGTACACGGTGACGTGTTCATGTGCGAACACCTTCCTCTCCCTCGTAGTTCCTCTCTCTCTCTCTCTCTCTCCCAGATCGCTTGGTGAAGCATTGCTGAGATTGCTCCACCACCACCGCCACCACGCCGTCGTGCTGCCGGGAACTCGAGCTGCTACTTCACCATCGCTCGCTGGATCGAGGAGGTGAAGGCGTCATCAAGCCGTACATGTGTTGAACGCAGACGTGCCATCCGTTCGGCACTTGATCGAGAGTTAGTGGACGGGTCTTGATTGGATCGTGAAGACATTCGACTACATCAACCACATTTCTTAATGCTTCCACTTTGCGATCTACAAGGGCATCTAGATGAAATCTCTCCTCTCATAGATTTTCATCTCGTAGATCGATCTTGGTGAACGTAGGAATTTTTTTGTTTCCCATGCAACGTTCCCCAATAGCAGGGCTAGGCCCGCGCGGCGGACAATGGCGTCGGGGCCTTCTCTTTGCCTGGCGTTGGGTCTCGCGATGGGGGATGCTCGGCTCCTCTCTGCTGCACTGCATGGCTGCTCTGGCGCTGCCATGGTCTGCCTGGGCCTCGAGTCGTGTCGGCTTCACGCGCTCCTTGGCGCTGCACGGCTCATGCCGTCTCACCGCGTCCCGTGCATGGGAGGTGGTTGCCTGTGGATCTGGATGGCTGCGGCTGGATCCGGCTTGTCCGCGTCTGTGGCTCGATGTGGCGGGCTTCGAGGGTCGTCCGGTAGTTCGGCCTAGCGGACTAGCGGTGGGGTGGCAGCCCTCCCCTCCGTCTCAGGTGATTTGTGGTGGCTATGGGCGTCTCACGGCGGTGCAGCGGGTGCGGCTGCTAGATCTGACTGGGTTTGGTCTGTTCTGGCTTGCCTGTGTTTGCCGGCAACGATGAAGGAGGTCGCCCTGCGCAGTGTTAGCCTGCTCGCTGTGTTGGGGGTGCCTGGACCAGTGGAGGTACTGCGTGGGAGTGGTGGTTGTGCTACTTCGGGTGAAAGCTTGGCCGGTGCTTGCTGGCCAGCGGCGACGGCGTCCGTGGGCGTCGTTATCCTCCTTGGAGGCGTCGTCAGGGAGAACTGCGCATCCTCAACTCCCAGATCAAGATCTTCGGGCGAAAGTCAAGATCCCGCTTTAGGGTCGGGCGACGGCGGCGTCTTTAGCGTTGTTTTCCCTCTTTAGGGCGCCGTCTTGACAATCTTGATTCCATTGGTGCTTCCGGCGGGCTGGACTTGCACAACATTGCGATCGGCTGGTATCTGTCCGACGACGTGGGCAGTTTGGCGTTGCGACTCGTGTGGCGACGACTCTAGTGGCGAGCGGAGCTCGGTCGTGGCTTGTCCTTCTGATGTCCACGGTCCAGTGAGCCAATGGGTACGCCTACACTGCTTTCGTGCTGTGACAGAGAAGTCGGAGCTGCGGTCGGTGGTGCCACTGCGGCAACGATGACTCCATGAGGGTGGTTTTCAGCGGGCGGTGCTCTCCGGATGTTGCGTTGGACTAGGTCAGTGCGAGGCGTGCAACTTTCTCATGTGAAGCTCTTCAGCAAAAATTCGGAGCTGCCATGTCCTCGACGCTTCGGTCGATTGTTTGGTGTTTGTGGCCAGGTTGTCCTTGTGTGTCCCGTGGGGTGTTGTAATCTAGGCTTTTACGGTTTTTCTCTAATTAACCGGGCAACTCTATCAATGAGAATGACAAATCTTTTGACTCGTTTAAAAAAATACCTTTTGAGGTACAGTTAATATGATCGGAGGGTACCACGTTCAGCTTGGAAGGATCGTGCTACCTAAGCAGATCGCGGCATCTTTAGAGCCTTCGCTTGGATAAATTATCAGTATCACACTGGCCTCGGAACTTGAAAGCATCGTGCTGGCTAGCTAGGCAGCGGCGTCTTTACTCCCATGGATGCAAATCCCGATCGGTGCTGAATTTTGTTTACTGGTTTCTATGGAACAGCTTGCTCTATGTTAGTAGTACGATGCTTACACTTCCTTAATCTTCACGCAATCAGTATATATATAATTAATCTCTGCATCGTAGTACGAATGACCAGAAATGGTTGCTATTTCTTTTGTTTTTATTTTTTTTCTCTCCATGAATCAAACTCTGAATTGCCATTCATAAATAGCCAAAAGAAGAATGAAATAATGTTCTTGCCAAGACACATCTCCCACCCAGCTCCATCATCAGAATCACTTCTATCGGTCCTAGTAGTAACAATAATTCCTAAGCCAGCCCACACTCCTTCGGGAAGCCATTGGGGAACCTCTTTTCGTCGGTGCAGTAGTTGTAGATCATGTACTTGCCCTGCACCTCCCTCAGCTGCTGCTGCTGCTTCACGTCGTCGTCCAGCCGCCCTCCTCCCCGTGCCCGGTCCATCCAGCCGGAGCTGGAGCCGGAACCGGAGGGGTTCTGGTCGCACGCCCACGAGCCGCCGGCGGTGGGCGCGCATCCGGAGGCGGTGTAGTTCCGGAAGTAGGCGATGAACGGCGCCTGCGACCAGTCCGTCTTGACGCGCCCACCCTGGGTCGCCCAGTCGTCGGCGTTCCACAAGCACCCGAACAGCCGCATCGGCTGGTACACCGGGAAAGGCACGCCGGCGTCCCACTGGTTCTTGAACTGCCGGATCGGCACGCCGTCCACCAGGATCCTGCAGAAACAGACCAATTATATCTTAGCATTCAGAGTTTCAGACATGTCGAGCAGAATGCTGGTGTGTACACTAAGGTGAGGCTTACAGGATCTCGTCTGTGTTCCAGACGATGGAGTAGGTGTGGAAGTCCTGGGTGGGATCGAACCAGAGACGGTACTGCACCTCCCTGCCGCCCTCGCCGTTGGCGAAGATGTTGGTGTGCAGGGTGTAGGGCTGGCCGGTGGCGTTGCCCAGGAACTCGAGGTCGATCTCGTCGTGGGTCTTCCAGTCCTTCTCCGAGATCATCTGCACCACAGCACACAACGTATATACCATTAATTTGCGAGGAACTCGTGCATGCCGTGCATGGATGACGAGACGATGGACATGGCATGGTCACTTACATATATGGTGGTGACGGTGCCGGCGGAGTTCCTGGGGATGAGCTTGATGTCCACGTCGATCCTGGCAAAGAGGTAGGAGGTCTTGGACTTGAAGGCCGACCCCATGGCGTGGTCCAGCATCAACTCGATGGTCTGGTCGCCGATGCCGTCGTTGAGCACTTGCGTCTGCCCCCACAGTATCTGTAGCTGGTCCGCCGGGCGACCACCGGCCACCGGAGAGGCCCAGGCGGCGATCATCAGCGCAAGAGCCGATAGGCTGGCTAGGAGGCCCTCCGTGG